CTGGAGTTCACTCTCTCGGGACCTGGCAACTTGACCGTGAGGTCTAGGAAGGATCTGAGCAGAAAGTACCATTTGTGCTGAGTTTTAAAGATCTCAGTAGAGCTAAGGAGGAGGATGCAGCCAAGACTGTTAGTTGACTCCTAATACCTGTTCCATCTTCTTCTTCAGTTTTATTTTTAGCTGTGTACTTGATCAGCCAAAATAAAACCCATATTTCCCAACCTCCCTTTGCATAGCGCCGAGTTCTGGATAAAATATGGAGAAGTAGGGTGTGCAACTTCCTGGAAGTCTTAAATGGGAAAGGCATGCCCTTTCCTTTATTTATCTTTTTTATTTTGTCAATTTTGTTTTGAGTCAGGCTCTCCCTATATAACCCTGGCTAGCCTGGAACTCACTGTGTAGACCAGGCTAGCCTCACACTCCCAGAGATGCACCTGTCTCTGCCTTCCCAGTGCTGAAATTAAAGGCATGCTCACCGCGCCAGGTGGCCCTTTCCTTTCTGTATCTCCCTTGGCTGACTGGAATGTGGCGGCGCTTCCTCTGACCTCTAGAGGAAGGCACGAATTGAAGACTGTGGGCTATAACATGACATTCTGGATCCTTTAGAATAATGAAGATGTCATATGAGACCCTCCACTGCTTTATTCAGGTCTCTGTCACATTAGTGTCTTGGGTTGTGTCTCAGTTGGGTTTTCATTGCTGTGGAGAGACACCATGACCATGGCAACTGTTATAAAGAAAACATTTAACTGAGGTGGCTTACAGTTCCAGAGGTTCAGTCCATCATCATCAGGATGGGGAGCATGATGGCTTGAGCAAAAGGGACCTCAAAGCCCACCCCACCGTGACGCACTTCCTCCAACAAGGCCACGCCTCCTCATAGTGCCACTCCCTTGGGGGGCCATTTTCTGTCAAACCACCACAGGCTGGGTTATCAGAAGCTGAGGCAAAAACTTCATGTACAAGAGATTGTCTTAGTTAGGTTTCTATGGCTGTGATGACACACCATGACCAAAGCAACTTGGGGAAGAAGTGGTCTATTTAGTTTACACTTCCACATTGTCATCCATCACTGAAGGACGTCAGGACAGGAACTCAAACAGGGCAGGAACCTGGAGGCGGGAGCTGCTGCAGAGGCCATGGAAGGGTGCTGCTTGCTGGCTGGCTCCCCATTGCTAGCTCAGTCTATGTTCTTATAACACCCAGGACCACAGTCCAGGGGTGGCCGCACAATGGGCTGGGCCTTCTCCCATCAACCACTAATAGAGAAAATAAATGCCCTACGCGCCTGACTACAGCCCAGTCGTAGAGAGGTGTATTTTCTCAGTTGAGGTTCCCTCTTTTCAGGTAACTCTAGCTTGTGTCAAGTTAACACAAAACTAGCTGGTACCGTGACTAATCAGACAGAGATGCTCCCAGGAGAAATCAATCAGGAAACAGGAAGAGTATACCCAAATCTTACCCTGGCCAGTACCAGAGACACTCCTGGCAGAAGGAGCACCAACAACAAACACAGAACATTCGAGAACAAGAAGGTAGGTGAAAACTGCAAGAGTACAGAAAGGAAATGGGTAGTGGCTGCAAAGCCAAAACTGTGGCCACTGGGACTATTGGCTACCTTTACGCCCAACTAATCCCTGAGGGTAGGAGCCAGAGGAACGCTGAGCACGGTGACTCAGAGGATCAGTCTGGCGGCCTCGTGTGGAATGAAACGGGAATGTGCTAACACCCGAGATCAGACTTGTAGCTCCAATGTAGGCAAGTTGCTTTGATACAGGAAGAAAGAAACAAAACGGATCAGGCGCTAATCCAGGGCTGGTTTCCAGCCTGTGTTCTGGGGAGACTGATAGCTGTAACAGTTAATCTGGTTGTTTGTTTGTTTGTTTGTTTGTCTGTTATTTGGAGTTTGGGTTTGGTTTTTTTTTTTTTTTTTTTTTTTTTTTTTTTTTTTTTTTTTTTAGACAGGGTTTCTCTGTGTAACAGTCCTGGCTGTCCTAGAACTCCAACTCACAGAGATCACCTGCCTCTGCCTTCCAAGTGCTGGGATTAAAGGCGTGCACCACCGCTACCCAACTTAGTGGTTAATCTTGATTATGAGCATGCCTGGGTCTGGAGGAAATGTGTCTGAGAGGGTCTGAGAGGATACTTTCAAGAAACATTAACTAAGGGAGAGCATCCCTCAGAGCAGACAGCATCTTCTAGCATCTCAGATCCAAAGAGGTCCAAGTGCTGTCTGCCTGTCTTCCTTCCTTCGGGGAATGTGTTAGTTATCCAGATGTTGATGCCATCCTCACTGACATCTCAACTCCTCCATCCTTCACTGCAGATATTCAGGAATCCCTGTCTTTCAGTGTCCTGTGGAAACTGCTGAGGCGTCCGTCCTCACAGACTGAGGTTCTCAGCTTCCCCAGCATGTAGATGGACACTGTTGGACCACTCTGCCACATCCGTGCATTCTAACCTATTGACATTATTGCACACAACTGTCATATTCGAATTTCACATTCAAAAACTGCACAATCAAGCGTTTTTATATCACAAAAAAAGATGGCAGTGGTGGTCTCAGCACTCAGGAGGCAGAGGCAGGCAGATCTCATGTGGGTGCTGGGCATCAAACCTGGATCCTCTGGCTTCCTCAGGCACCTACACAGGTAGTATATAGACACATATACACAGTATTTAAAATTAAACAAATGAGGGAGCTGGGGAGATGGCTCAGCAGTTAAGAGCACTGGCTGCCCTTGCAGAGGACCCGAGTTTGATTCCTAACATCCACACCGGGCTCACAATCACCTCTAACTCCAGTTTCAAGGGATCCAGCGCCCTCTTCTGGCCTCCACAGGCACTGCATGCACATGGCGCACAGACACACGCGCCAACAAAATCAAAATAAATCTTCCAAAAACAAATAAAGGAAATATTTTCTAAGTTGGCTGAGTGAACTGGTGGTGCCTGGCACAGCTTGGCATGGATGAAGAGATTCAACAGCTCAGGGGACCGGGAACGCTGGAGTCCTCTTCAGTGGAGCCTTCACACCTACCCACGAAGGGTTATTCAGACAAGGTTAGCCTCTGGGCACACCTGCAAGGGATTGTCTTTATTAGGTTAGCTGAGGTAAGACAGTTCACCACCATTTCGTGTACTGAATCCTGGACCGGATCAGGAAGAGAACGAGAGCCGAGCACCAGCATTCGGTTCCCTCTGCTTCCTGACTGTGGATGCCGTGGGACCAGCTGCCTCTCGCCCTGCCACCGTGACTTCTCCAGGTGCCCTGCATGCCACCTGGGCTGACCAACAAAATTTTGTTCTCTCTCTCTCTCTCTCTCTCTCTCTCTCTCTCTCTCTCTCTCTCTCTCTCTCACACACACACACACACACACACACACACACACACACA